AGGACATTTTTCCTGCTGAATTTCATTCCTGGACATAGAAAATTTTCTGTTTCTGTCAAAAATGTTTCCCTGAATTTGACCTGGTGAAAATGCACACCAAAGACAACTGTAAGAGACAGTGAAAGACAAGCAGCATCAGAAGACAAACTGCCCTCTGCACTCCTGATTGCTTGCTTCTGATAACTCTGTTGACTTAAAAGAGTCAACACAGCATAAACTCCCGTGCACCGTTTTGCCTGTCTAATCTAGCTGGTTAACACTGCTGTAGACATCACCTGCAGGCAAGGTCAATGTGCTACATAAACATCTGCTGAATCAGTCTGAATGTAGTGTGAGCTGGGATGTTCTTTGCATATTACACAGGGAGGTTATACGAATTGTAGTCTATCAAACAAACAAAAAAAGAGCTGTTACAGTACAGGGGGCTCTCTCCTTCAGGTCCTTGCTGTAGATGTACTTTGCTGCTATGTAGCTGAAAATGATCCTCATCCCATCAGTCTCCACCACTGGTTGCCCGTTAGACCAATATGTTCCATGTTTTGCAATAAAATTAGCTTAATTATTTATTTAGAGCTAGAACCACAGAAGGATAAGGCATCAAAACAGTCACCACTGCAACATCTTATCTTTTAGGAGGTGCTTAGTCCCCTAATGGAGCACCCTGTACCCTATACGGCCTTCATTCACAGAAGGAGACTCCTCACTGACAGCAAATCCTATACACTCCACCTTCTGGTCTGGGCTCTTTTCTGTCTTATTTCCCTCTGCCCCTTTCTTACGTTTTGAGAGGTTCTTCTCTCCAGCCTCTGAAAGCCTGCAGCGAGGCTCAGTCACCTCCACAGAGGTGTCCACGTCTGCTGGCCTCCAGCTGCTGCTCCAGAGAGCCTGGCTCTGCGGCGTGTGCCACGGCATGATGGGGAGAACCCCAGGTGTCTGCGCTAAGTGCAGCAGAATCCCACTCTTGGTGTCGCTGTAGAAGCACAAGCTGCCCACGTTTTGTTTTCTGTTATCATCCAGTCCAAAGTAATTTGTTCACATTTTATAACGAAACAGAACTCTGCATAAAAATCTTTTATTTGCTTGCTTGAGAAGTGACTGCTTTCCCCTCTAGGTTTCTGGGAATGCTAACTTTTGCTGTTAGCAAAGGTTTTTTTAAGAGTAAAAGACCAAACTGCAGTTCTGGAAACAGTGTTTCAGGCACTGCTGGACAGACATGACTTATGACCCAGAATCTAGGATAATGTGGGAGATTTAAGCTTTCCCTGCATAGGTGTGTGCACCGAGGTGCATCTGGTAGTGTTTCAAAAATGCGAACTCAGTCTTAGGTAGTTTGTCTGGATTAATCATTTGTAGGCCTGGCCATGATAAACTCTAGGAGATATGCCAGGTCTAGTGACTACTCCTACAAGGACTTGACATCCACTGTGCCATAGGACTGCAAGATAGGAAAACATGAGTTCAAGCATGGAAGTTAATCACAGTGTAGACAACTTGGGAAAACTCATCTCACCTAAATTTGTAGATACCTACATCTAGTCTAGCTGTCTAGCCTCCTTTAAAAAGGTCTTAATTCAGGTCTATATTCAGGAGGAATCCCTCCCTCACCATGCACCTCAGCTACAGCTGATATCCAAACTACTTGAAAGAATGCTGTCTCAATTGAGGCAGTTAAAAGTTTAGATGAAGCCAGTTCCTTAGGGGTAGAGGAGAGGAGCAGAAGTCTCCAGAGGGTGATTTATGCCAACACTGACATTTCTTACCCTATCAGTGGTATCAACTGATATTTCTTACCCTATCAGTGGTATCAACTGATATTTCAGGCAAGTCTTCTTCAACAGTTACTAGCCTAGATAAAAGTGAAAAATACAGTACAGTCTCTCTCCTGACTTAACAGGACTTTTGGAAATGTCACGTCACCAAACTTGTAAAGTATTTTGGAAAATGCTATTAAGTGTCATTTGTATCTTGTATGCCTGAAGGGATCTGATCTCTTAAGAACATCTAAGTTCTGATTGACCATCCAAGAGTTAAAACTAGGGGAAAAGTCAAAGATACTCTAATAACTTAGTTTGTTTCCATTTATCTTCTTTCTTTAAAATAATAAAGTATATATATATTTTTTTTTTAAGACATGATACTCATTTCTTGACAGAGCATTGGAAAATGTTTTGTGTCATCAGGCTTTGTGAACTTTCCTCTCTATATAAAATGTTAGTTTGAGTTGGAGCTATGTTCAAAATTATGAGCCAATATTTAAAATGCACTTGCAAGGGAAACAGATGCACAGGCAAACTGTTGTGCCTTATTGTATTAGCGGGGGGAATAGGGACTGTAGAGAAGGGAGCTTCATCTGTGGCTGTAGAAATAAACTGCCTCTGCCTTACCCGAGTCTGCAAAACAGATTACGTGTTTCTTCCATGATGCTTCATTCTCAAGAGAGAATATATTTGTAACCTGCAGGTGAAATGCTGGTAAGGTCATATGCAAGGTTTGGAATAATTGATTTATGAAGAAAAAGAATCAGTTTTGCAAGGAAAACTTTGCAGAGAGATCTTTAAAAATCCAATTCACCCAGAGGCTTTAATTTAAAGGTGGTAGTATTAACTACATTTTTACCTTATACACGTAAGCAAGTGAGGTACCAACCAGTCCATAGTAATTCCACTTTCACATTCAAGAGCCCATCCCTTTTCTCAGCAAAGACAGGGAGCAGTCCCATGGATTGCATTGAGATGTACATGGCTGCAGTAGCAGCTACCAAGGAGGTGGTGGCCCTGCACAGGCAGGCATGCAGTGGCTTTCTTCTTCTTCGGGCAGCACAGAGGAGTCTAGTGACACAAGGTGGCAGGATGCACCACAGCCACACTGGCAGTTCACCTCTGTCATTGACAACCATTAACGAATATGTCCAGGTATTTTTCCTGTAAAACTCAGTCTTCTGGATTTTACAGGAAAAGCAATTTCTTCCAGCAACTACTTGAGACCTGCTGCTTTCACCCACCAGAGAACCAGGAAAAGACAAAGCATTGACATGAGGGTGACAAAAGCAGGCTGGCATCACAGAGTTGAGCACTTGGGTGGCCTGGGCAATCACTGCTCAGAACGCCTGGTGAGGGTGAGGCACGCCAGCACAGATCCCCATGCTGGCATGCTGGCTAAGTGAGGACCCATCTCCAGAGGAGATTTTCCCAAGATCTCCTGTGATTACCAGAGGGTTAAGTAAACCGAATAGGATTGACAGTGTTATGGAACAAGACAAGCCATGGACAATGGCTGCCATGGCTGTGCCTTGTGGTTCAGTATTTGGAGCAGAGACACAAGGTGAAAGCCATGCACGTCCATTCCTCCCTTCAGCCTTAGTTGACCCTCATATCAGACCTGAGAGTCTTTTGGGTGACATATTCTTCATTCTTCACATTGGACCAAAGTCATTTTCCAAGGAACCTGAAATAGTTTTTTAGGATAGAGATAATGAGTATGGCTCATTAAATGATTAGTGAACTTATCTGAACAAGCAGAGATTGGTAAGAGAAGTTTAGGCAACTTTATTACACATTTAATGCACCTGAGCTGTCCTGGCCATGAAAGCTGCCCTGCTCTATGACCTTCTGTCCTGGTTTCACTGGGATAGAATAATAGAATTAATTCTTGGTCAGAAAAGCTACATTTTAAGAAGACTGCAGCACTCAATTTGGTGAGAACAAAGTTGATAAGACACTTCGTTTTAGTTTGTGGCCAGCCGTAGTATGTGGCTTTCCAGAGTGATCAAGGTCTTTAGCAGTTCGAGGTGCTAAGACTAGGAGTAGCAAAAGCCAGGGCAGCTGACCCAAGGTGGTCAACAGAAGTATTCCATGCCATAAATCATAGAATCGTCTGCTTGGAAAAGACCTCTGAGATCATTGAGTCCAACCATACCTGTCCACTACTAAACCATATCTCCGAGCACCCCATCTAGCTGTCTTTTAAACACCTCCAGGGATGGCGACTCAACCACCTCCCTCACTAAATGTCACACACATGATAAAATGGAAAGTTTGCTGGGAACGACCCTCTTTCTCAATGGCCATCGTCCCTGGAGGCTCTCACTCATCATCCTGCTCCCAAGGCCCGCTCTCCTGCTTGTTGTGACGGTCACACTTTCATCAGCTGAGTATAACTTTTTAATTTTATATTAGTATTAATATTAGTTCTTATTACAGTTTCACTAAATCTGAATCACAGAACCACAGAATGTCAGGGATTGGAAGGGACCTCAAAAGATCATCTAGTCCAATCCCCCTGCCAGAGCAGGAACCTAAATGAGATCACACAGAGAAGGTGTCCAGGCGGGTCTTGAATGTCTCCAGAGAAGCTCCCTGGGCAGCCTGTTCCAGTGCTCTGTCACCCTCACTGTAAAGTAGTTTTTTCTCAAGTTTAAGCGGAACCTCCTGTGTTCCATCTCACACCCATTGCTCCTTGTCCTATCATTGGGCATCACTGAGAAGAGCCTGGCTCCATCCTCCTGACATTCACCCTTTACATATTTATAAACATTAATGAGGTCACCCCTCAGTCTCCTCTTCTCCAAGCTAAAGAGACCCAGCTCCCTCAGCCTTTCCTCATAAGGGAGATGCTCCACTCCCTTCTGTTTTCATTTCATCCCATGGGTCTCCTTTCCTTTTCCCAATTCCCCTTTTCAGGTGGGGAGGGGTCACTGGGTGATAGAACAGCTGACTAAACCGAGTTACCCCCACCCCTCTCCCTTCCCCCTTGTCACTCTGTGAATCACCTCCTCCATTGCAGACAGGCCTTGCTGGGAGGAGCTGTGACCCCTTGGTGTCACTGGTCCCACCACGTTGCCCGTTGGGGCGGGTGGTGCCCCACTGTGCCCCACAGCAGCAGCACCCCTATGCTGCCCACGTTTCACTCTGTGCAAAGCGGCAGCTCAGGCTCAGATTTTGCCCTCTGGAGTTCTCCGAAGATCACATCAAACATGAGGCAATGCCAAGGCCCGGGTGCCTGAAGATGTCGTCTGTGTTACTGAACTGGCAGCAGCTCGCTCAGGGGTTGTTTGTCCATGGCCACTGCTCTCACCCAGACAGCTCCCAGACACAGTCACTCCATGTCAGGGCCCAGCCGCACCAGGCCCTTGGATGTCTCTACACAACTCTGGGTAAGAAGGGAGTTTAATATTATGTACATGGCTTCAGATCCAGAGAATGGACCCTGGCCTTCTTGTTTTACTAGAACAAAGATGCAGCTGACCCTTGGTTTCCAGATCTGGGGCTAGCCAGCAGATTCTCCAAAAATGGCAGATAATCGCACAGAAAGAAGCAGGAACAAATATTGAACCAGAGTGACCATCTGTTTGAGGATGTGGCTCTGCCCTCCCCATCCTTTGAAGAAGTTCATCACATGAAGAAGGGCACAGACTCCAGTGCACCGGTAACAATGAACTAGGGTGCCTGGAGGAATCACATTTAAGTAGAGGACGAAAAGAATGGAACAATATAAGAGCTGGTCCCTAAGCTGTATCTGGTAATTATAAGAGACCAATGAGATTTGGCATTCATAACAACAGAATCCCAGAATGGTAGGGGTTAGAAAGGACTTCTAGAGATCATCTAGTCCAAGTTCCCTGCCAAAGCAGGTCCACCTAGAGCAGGTTGCACAGGACTGCATCCAGGCAGATGATGAAACTAATATTAATTTAGAAGTTTTGCTCATACAATATTATAAAAATAATGCAATATAAGGACTTACTCACCAAAATTGCTGTTGAAACAAGTTGACTGCTTTAAAAGATAAGTGATTCAGTGGATCTACTGTCTTCCTTTCCATAGCTCTTATTCTGAAGCTAATTTTCACCCAGAAAATATTTTCAACAAGTTTATTCTGACAATACTAACACTGCATTGGTCTTTTCCCAAAGGAATAAATACCCTACCTCCAAATAGTTCTTTGCTTCCATACTCCTTTATTTTCATGCTTTGCCAAACATTTGATATCAATAAAGACAAATCTGCTGTCACGTTGCCAGAGTAATCAGAATAATTTATTTTGGTTTTGGAGGGGTTTTTTTACCATTGGTTTTAACTACAACAATACTAATTTACTGAGCTTTCTGTTTCCTTGAAGGTTTTGGAGTTTGGTACTTTGGTGGGTTGGTTTGTTGGGGTTTTTTTGGTATTTTGGGTCTCGCTGAAGGTAGCAAGGCATTCATATCTTAAAAATCTTCATCACAGTTTCTATATAACGTTCATCTGGTGGGGGTTTCCTTGGGCTGCCAGGCTGCAGGAACTTCTTAATTGTAGGCATATTGCTCATTCTTACTTTAAAAGCCTAAAAAAATAAAAACAACAGGGTAAGAGAGAAATTTCCAGCTACTTCAGCAGCAAACAATGCTCCCTGCACAGAACAACTGCTTCCCCCTGCTGCTAGAAGAGATCCTAACACTCGTTCAGACCTCGTGCCATCTACACAGTCTCCTTCTGTCCTGCAGGAGGACCCAACTGCTGCAAAAAACACGTTCTTACCAATGAAGACAGTACTGGAGCAGACAATATCTAAATCTCTGCTACCTGAAAGAAGCTGAAGGCAAAAATTCAATATCCAGGAGCACCAGGGGATAGTTTTAAAAGTACAAATACATTAACACAGCTCATTATCTTTTTCTTTTCATTGCTGGTTCTGATGGTGCAAAGTACCATGTGGTCAAACCGTGGTACATGTTAACACGATTTCCGTTTTTACTACATTATGTAGGTATCTGAGCTCTCTTTGCATCTATCATGGCCACTGTTGTCCTACTGTCCCAGCATTTCCAGGATTGTGTGGCTGAAGGTGAAATGGCTTGAGGCATCCTTGGCTCAAGTCAGTTGTCCAGCAGAGGCTTCTCATACTGGGTTGTTGCCTAGGGTAGCCAGTGGCTGGAGGCCAGGACTAAGATTAAGGAAGAGCTGGGCATCTCATGTGGCAAGAGATGCCTGTGTTAAGGCAACTGAGTCAAGGATCCTGAGACATCTCATTGTACGGTCAGAGAGGACTCACTGATGCAGATTGCAAGCAGCTGGAGACTCCACAGTTAGCTGAGCAATCTTAGGTACACAAGAATATCTTCTAATAATGGGGCTAAGGAAAAGGAGTTTCACAGAGCAATAGCCAGTTCTTGCTGGCAGATGTATGAACATAATTTCCTCTTCCTTACAGACACTGGAAGGATAAGGAGGGAAATACAAGAAGGAACAAGAAAAGTGAAAAATAAGTAACCACCAGGTATAGAAACTTTTTCCACTCTCACAGTGAAGGAATCTCTCCATAATTCAAGGCATGGCTTCAACAGAATTGTGCCTATGCTTAGTGGCTAAGATGTCTTGCTAGAGATGGGAGCTCGGGTTGCAAAACTACATATGAGCTAAAATCTGACACACGTTACTCCCCACTTTTTGGCTGAAGTGCCTTATTCTGTCACACTAAATTTAGGCTTAAGTTGTTGAGGTTGAGATTTTTAAAAAGTGACTGAAAAAAAAGAAAAATCAAAGACCTTTTCTTCATCAGTTCCAAGCAGAAAACTTAACTGTGATACTTAGCTGCCAAACTGTTTCTTTTGTTAATGGGAATAAAGCCAAAATCTGAGTGCGCCCCTCAAATTAACAGTTTGTAGGCACAAAGAACCTCAAGCCTTTCATTCTCAACCTAAATTTGCATTGCCTACACTGCTTCATTACCATGATTACAGGCACATGGGAGGACTACTGAACACTATCTGCTTTTTTGCAGTCACAGACTCTTGGGTCCCCTAACAACTCCTGCAGGTCATGACCCAGGCTTGCCCATGCACTGGAGGCTTCTGATTTCTGGTCAAGTCTCAGAGCAGGAAGCCCTCACTTCTGCTTGGTTTCAGACTTTGTACATAGCACAAGGGCAGAAAATTCATCCTTGATTGTACTGAGTTTATTATTGAAAGAAAACTGTGGCTTAATGCTGAGGCTTGAGTTTCCAGTCATACTGTAGAAGGCAGAAGTGAAATGAGGCTACCGGGATCCCAAAATGGTAATACCAGCCAGTATAAAAAGGGGCACACTGTACCTTAGTCTAATGTGTGAACCTGTATCACTGACTTAATTTGTTATCTGGTATTAGACAGCACCTACTGGCAGGAAGCAGGACAATGAAAACAGGGCAGCTTAGACCAGTGATTTCCTCAGGATGACATTAATTTATTTCTTTTGAGGAGGCACATACCACTCAAAGAGCGATAAGCATACCTGAACAGAGTTAATCAGGAGCATAGTGTCTTACAATAAACCAACTGAATCTATTCCCTCTTATGCTTGATGTTAAGTAAACATACGATAGTGACAGCTCTTTGAAGAGCCCACAATCGTGATTTACATAGCATGGAGAGATGGTCACGTCAGGATTGCCCTCTAGGTCCTGAATACAGGCATGCTCAGTAACAAAATTACCTGTAACTGAGGAAACCCCGACAGCACAGCAGGTATTTTCTCCTCCACTGCTAAAATGGCTTCAATCAGCTGCACATCTGCCCAGCTGAATTTGTTGCCCACGAGAAAGTCTTGGCCATGTTGTTTCAAAACCTGTAGAATACAAGAGAATGTGTGCTGCAGATGAGAATGGCACATATGACGCCTGGCAGCGAAGCCTCACAGCACAGCTGTAGAGCTGAACAGCTATTATATCTGAACTTTCAGGGTGGAGTTTTCAGCTGGAAGCTGTGAGCCTAAATCACTTCATTATTGTTGGGAAAAAAAATCTGAACTCTTGTGGTACACATACTGCAAACCTTGGTCACTCTGTAACGATGAATGACGAGAGGTACTGGGAACAGCGACAAAACCACACGCTTAAGTAGACTAGTAATGGTCAGAATTAGAAATAGGGATAATGGAGGAACTAAAGAGTAACTTGGAGAATTTATAAAATTGCCACTTAGATGTTTCATTTAAAGTTATGTCCAGTGTTGATACCAGGAAGCAAATTTAGAAATGCAGAATTATAATAGCTAACCAAAGAAAATCCCTGTCTTTGGGAATAAGTTATTATAGTCATAAGAACTTCTAGGATGTTCAGCCTTTATTATTGTTTTCCACCAGAAATAGATGAATGTTACAAAAGTGAGAAATGTTGCCAGATGCCTGAGTCATATGGGTTTGGTTTGTTGTTTTCAAAAGTGGGATGTGCATAAATCTATGACTGTTGCTTTACTAAAGTACTCCTCATCTCTTTACCCAATTTACTTGCAAGGGATTTTTGCATTCTTCTAATGAAAATGTTGCAACTGAAATTAACTGTAGCAGAGAGAGATGTACTTTAAAGAAATCTAGGTGTGGAACTATCTCCTCAAGGAAAAAAGAAACCTTATGTGCTTGCTTTTACTTTAGTGAAAAGTTTTGCTGCATAGCTGGGAACATATCACTTTGTTTGCTTTGTAGATGTTCAAATACCACAGCCCTGACAACACAATTCAACAAACAGAAAGTGTGCTGCTCTGTTTCCCCTTCTTTGAGAGAGCCAAGAAAGCTGAGGATTTGGAACTGACCTGCACTATAAGCATTCTTATTTTGGGGAAACTTTTTGATAATTGTAAATACAAGTTTTATAGACACATCCTCACTGTCACTTACCTTTTCAAAGACTGGGAAGTACCTATTAGTTGCCCTCTCCTTAATTGAGTCAAGATTTTTCTCCTTTGCCTCAGGTGGAGAGAAAGGAAACATCAAAATCATTTGCATCAGATCTGCTATTCCTTCCACGTACATGTCAATCCTATTGGTGGGGGAAGACAGTAGAAAAGAGCACAGAAGTTATTTTATCTGTTTTACAATTAACTAAGGCAAGTTACAGGAATTTTGTATGACCATAGTGCCAATTTTCACAGCCAAAACTAAACACAAACTAAAGCTAAACATTGTTTTTAAAAGACTAAAAGCCTGTTTCTGTCCAGCAGCATTTCAGAAGCAGTGGTTAAAACCTAAGCAAAGGCTAGAGTTCTTGCTTTTTACTATGTTAGTCTTGCTCATGCCTTTCGACTGGGTTTACAGGATTGAATTTATTACATATAATGTAGCTATCAAATAACAGATTACTCATTAAGTGAAAGGAGATGTTACATTACAGGGCTCTCTCCTTCAGGTCTTTCCCGTAGAGATTGTATTTCCCTGCTATGTAGCTGAGGATGGCTCTGGTCTGCACCATCTTCATCCCATCAATCTCAACCAGGGGCACTTGCTGGAACATCAGGACTCCATCTAGGGTGGAAAGTTGAGAGAAAGCTTGTTAGTTCCTCCTAGACTGCTAGCTTTACAGGAGAGCAAGAGACTGAGCACATCTCTTTTGCAGTGTAGGAGATCATTGATTTTCGTCTTGCTCTAACTGCAGAACTCCCTGCAGTAAACTAACGTTGTGGGAAAGATCAAGTATTGAGTAGCCTGCATCACACTTTTGTAGCCAGGTCATCACAGTGCTGAAGGGCCCCTTGCTTTACAGCGTTGCCAGGCCTTTGCTGGCTGATGGGAGCTGGCACCACCTGCTCCTTTGCACTGCTGGACCCTGCCTCACGCTGGCAGGAAAAGCCTGAACCAGCACTTTCTGCATAAGGGATTGGAGGAGAATAAAGATCTGTGTTAAATCTGAACTTCAAAAATACCCCAACAAAACACAATTATTTTGAATGCTGATCAGTTCTCTGTCAGTTCTCTCTCTACACACAAGCAGAAAGAATGAGAGGGGTAGTACAGCAGTAAGACTGAGCTACTGGGATAAAGGAAGAGGTTAGGCCACTTTAAACATCGGGAAGCTACAGAGTTAGAGGCAGGGACTGTGAGAGCAGTTGCTGTTTTAAGTAAGTTTTACACAGTCACTCCAGGAACAAGAGTTTGAGAGTCCCCATAGATTTTCATTATAGGTCTATCCTCAATGTTGTTCCACAACAATTTAAGCCTATTTACATACATCTTTGTAGTCCCATTTTCTCTTGGTACTGGTGGAAATATTTGTTGGAGTATATGGTGAGGCAGCTCTGAGAGCTAAACTGACATAGAGATTCAGCATAGCAAAGTCAGTCTTTTCTCTTCCAGTTTTCTGCTGGACTAATTCACTGTCTTTGGAGATACTCCCTCCTCCATTTACACATTAAGGGCATCCAGAGAACAATCCCACCCTGTTAAAATCACAGCAAAACTCCAAATCCAACTAGGCAGCTGCCACTTTGAATTGCTCAGAGTTAATAATTTATTTTAATTGCTCAATTTCTCAGTGCATCCTACTTTCAGGGACAAGGGTTCATTTCAACAGGCACATCTGTTTGCTTTTTTCTCCACAGAGCTATTAAAATACTTTGCTAGTCTAGAATTAATAAATATTCTTTACTCATCCTACATTATTAATTTAGTTTAAATTAATAGTAGTTTAATTCAAAGTTTAAATTCAAAGAGTAGTTCTCTCTGCAGCAATGAATAGCCTGTGTTTGTTTCTTGTAAACATTCACAGAAAGATTGTTTCTTCATGTCTTTCCAAAACATACCTCTGCAGCTTCAGGAAGAAATATTATTTGGTATCTATCCAGCAGAAACACAGTAGAATGGGAAAACTAATAGCTCCATAAGGATGTTTTTCAGCAGAAGGATATGAAATGAAAAATAAAATCTGCCTTTCTGGCCCTTGACAAAAAGTGATGCAGCAAATACGAGTGAACTGAATGCACGGTTTGTTTCTTATCTATAGAAAAGAGGGACTTCTCCTTATGACCAGTAGCTGACTGTTTCTCCTCTCTTTGCAGTGAGAATCACTTCACATAACCACTGCATGGAATATATATGCCGGATTAAAAGCAGTTTGCCAGTCATTTTGCAGACTGGATTGTGCTGCTGGAAGGTGGGCTGTGCAGCATACATTAAAAACAATCACCCAGACCTGCTGTTTGTCACTGACCATTAGAGCTGGTTGATACCCAGGCAGCAACTTAGGCAACCTGTGTCTGCACAGACTGAGCCAAGCTAGTCATCTCTCAGGCCAATGGGTACAGGTCTGGCCCGGCTGATGGTATTTAACTCCCTCAGCCTCCAAAACAGCTGCCTGTCTGCAAGCTGCCTGTTAGGAACAGCCCCTGGGACAGGTGTCATTCTGGACACTGCTGGGGCGTTGCTTAGAAGATGGTCAGCTGGCATGGGCCCAAGTCATGCCTGGACCATTCCAACAGTGTGGAGGTGTCTAAATACAGGATACCCTGGCAAAAGGCATGTTGGTAGGGGGAGAAAAAATTGACAGGGAGAAGTAATGTGGAGTTATTCACATTCAGTCCTGCCCTGCATGACTGACAGCATTCCAGAGGTCCCTTTATCAGGATGACTAACTAATTTGTCTTTCTTCAACCCATTGTGTTAAACCCCACCTTTTTCTTTGTGTTCTCACTCTCTTAAACTTAATAGATATACATAAAAATCCTTGTTCTTCTTTATAAAACTTCCCTATCCTTTTCAGCACCATTTAATTCTTCTCTCTGGATATGGGTAATCTTGGGCACTGTATCTAGGATTGTGCCACTCTGTCTGGATTAATTAGTGAAACAAATTCAGATTTGGGTTATCAGTACCTGAGCTATCATATTTAGAGCTATAACTGGTGTCTTTACACTGCATTGCCCTCCCACATTGTCAGATTCCCAGCCAGCTGGACCTAGAAATTTAATTCTGATCTTCTTGATATCACTTCTTTTTTATTTTTTTATTTTTGTTCATTTTAGTATTCCTGTCAGAGTTTCTTTAAACACAGCTTTTCCTTTCTGAACAAGCAGCCAGAATGCAGCCGAGTCCTCTTTCAAGTCTCCTGGTATGTCTTGGCAAGCTCAGCCTCTCCTTATACGTCTTGGCCAGCAGGTAAACCACGGGGCACATGCACTGTAGTGCTCCTCACAGTCCCAACTCCTTCCCCACCCCAGCAGCAAGGCCTTCTCCTTCCAGGGTGGCTGTGGAGGGATTCACTACTGGTTTTCATCTGGCCAAATATCAAGGGCAGTGGCTGGGGGTATACACTGGTGTTTGGGAACTGGTCTCACTGCCCAGGCTGACATGAAGCCTTTGTGACTTGCTGCTTTGACCAAGTCAGACTTTCTGCAGGTCTTCCCACTGACTCACTGTTTTTTAACTGGAGGAAGCTTAATGGGTCAAGCTTATCCTGTTTAGGACTGTCACTAGTGTGTTTGCACAGAGCGTAGCACAAAGGAAAACTGGCTTTCCTGAGGACCGTGGTGTCATGCCAACCTTTCATTTAGAGGCTTATCTCACTGAGGTTCAGAACTAACATATAGGTACATCTGTAATGGTCAGTTCAACAATAACTCAGGCTGGCTGGCACAGACTGGCCACAGCTGTATTCAGCTCTCTCTGCTTGTAGAGCATGGTGGTAAATCTAATTGACATCTTGGAAATGGCCCTTGGGCTGGGGACAACTCCCAAATGGTGTCTAGGAATGATTTCAGGAAGTACTATTTGCTCTGGACCAAAAATGTGCCAGGAACCATGCTAACAGTCCAACAGCACAGATAATTAAGTTGCATTAAAGAGGAATGTTTGCCACCCCTGTTTAATGTACTACAATAAACACAGTCACAGAAGCTATGGCTTTTAGCTTATAGGAGTTGTTTGGCAATGGAAAGAACAGGTTACTCAAAACTAGCATTTCAGCATTCTTGGTGTGCACCTAGAAGTTTGCACTGATTTAAATAAACTAGTTTTAAACATCAAATTTAACTAAATTGGAGCAATTTTTTGAGGGACTAAGCCTCAGGTGCTGGGATTCTTACCTTTGATTAACTTTTCATACTGCTCCCTTGTTTCCAAAAAAATTTCTTCAAACTGGAAAAGGAGAGAGAACAGTGTTACACTGCTGTATTTGAACATTTTTCTTCTGTAAGTGACTGCACATAGCCACGTGCAGAGAAACCGAACCAAGCAAAAGATAATGAGTCAGATCTTCAACTGTGCTGTTTGGCCATAGATGTCCTGAGGATCCACCACACACCCTCACAGCTGGAGAGGAGCAGAAGGGCCTGGCCACTTCTGCCCAGGGCACTGATTCAGAAATAACCTAAGTGCTGGTAGAAACAGAGTACAGACATCTACAGGAGGAAGACAGGTTGCAGCCAGTGCCAAGGGAAGCACAAGGTAAATCAACTATTTGTAACCTCACCATAGGCCATGATAAGTCAACAACATTATTTTGTTTATACACAATGTAAATGCAAACTCAATAAAATGAGTTAAGGGGGTTTGCACAGCTGGAAAACTCAGAGTAATTAAGGGCCTCTTAATAAATCCCCGTTTTGACCCATTATGATTAACTACTTCAGGGGACTGATACCAGCTCTAATAAACTCCAAGCTCCACTGAGTTTTCATCTCAAATATTAACCACTGAACAAGGTAGTTCCAAACACGCAGTGCCACTGGCCAAATTAATTTAGCCACTCTCTTGCAGCCATTTATCCTCCACATGCATGTTAAATTCTTCCTTACTGAGGCCAATTGAAAACACCAGCCTGGAACACCGTGCCAAGTGTCAACTAACCTCCACGCCAGCTGCTGCCAACAGCCATCGTACGGGCTCCATTCGCCCCCTTCCATTAAGGTAGGTAAGCCTGGGCTTCCCCGACATGCTTTTGAGCTCCTGGTTCCCTGAAAAATGTTAAGCAGAAAACAGTGTCTCATAAAACTGGTGCAAGTACCATTATTTTGAGGAGAGACAGAGCCTTTTATTCTCACTATACCTGTTGAAGTTTAAACTTCATCTGGTTTAAAACATAAAATGAGAGATAGATCAGTGACACCACATAGACTGTGCTAGGAAAGGAAAGACATGCAGAGGAGAAGGAGTTGGGGGTACTCGTGGATGAGAAGCTCAACATCAGCCAGCAATGCGTGCTTGCAGCCCAGGAGGCCAACTGTGGCCAGCAAGTCAAGGGAGGTGATTCTGCCCCTCTGCTCCACTCTCATGAGACCCCACCTGGAGTACTGTGTCCAGTTCTGGGGCCCCCAGCATAAGAAGGACATGGACATACTGTAGCGAGGACAGAGAAAGGCCACCAGGATGATCTGAGGGCTGGAGCACCTCTCCTATGAGGACAGGCTGAGAGAGTTGGGGCTGGTCAGCCTGGAAAAGAGAAGGCTCCAGGGAGATCTTATAGTGGCTTTCCAGTACCTGAAGGGGCTACAGAAAAGCTGAGGAAGGACTTTTTACAAGGGCAGGTAGTGATAGAACAAGGGGAAATGGCTTTAAACTGAAAGAGGGGAGGTTTAGATTAGATATTAGGAAAAAGATCTTCACTGTGAGGGTGGTCAGACACTGGAACAGATTGCCCAGAGAAGCTGTGGATGCCCCCTCCCTGGGAGTGTTCAAGGCCAGGCTGGATGAGGCTTTGAGCAACCTGATCTAGTGGAAGGTGTTGCTGCTGATGGAAGGGGGGTTGGAACTAGATGATCTTTAAGGTCCCTTCCAACCCAAACCATTCTATGATTCTATAAAATCCTTCCCCAGTGCTACTAGGGGGGTTTGTTATGACTATAAGCAAACACAGACATGTTTAAACAAGTGGTATGAGTCCCCAGCTACAGGGGGAACCTTTCTGCATTTTAAGACAGCTATACAATGCCACTGAAAACCCTACCACCTTAGGGAAGTTACTCGCTTATCCTCATTGCCATCATTCCCATTGAAAAGATTAAAAGAAGAGAAAAACATGTTTGACTGGTAGGCTAAAATTCGTCTGGCTTTGCTTGTCAGATGTCTAAGCACATTTTGCAGCTTCAACTGCCATCTGCTTCTTTCTTCAAGTAGGGGCAAATGAATTGTTAATCTTCCTTGTATTCCATGAAACAGGCTGAGCTTCCTTGGCAGTCCTATTGAATGGCTATAGCCTCTTTCCTTGCTTCTTACAACAGCCTTGAGTTGTCCCCCAAAGCCAGATCTGGAACCTGGCTGCATTGGCTTCAGGTGCCCCCAAAAGTATCCCCCAGCACACCGGGGACCTGCATGCCCAGAGGACTGGCACATTGCAGGCTCTCTGAAGCTTGCTCTAACAGCACCGATCTCTGCACCACAAGCAATAGAGAGTGTAGCAGAGACACCACGTCTGTATTGAGCTTTTCCGTATGTAGGGACAACTAGCTGGAGTATTTGGGCTGACACTTGAGTATAAGTGTTTGCAAATCCAGGTCTTAATTCCTCTGTGCTTCATTGCTCTAATGACTAAAAAAAAATGGGACTATCATTCTCCCTTCACAAAGACGTTAGTATTATACACTAATGATTAGGGAGGGGGGGAAGCTTAAAAACTGGTATCCTAGTTGTGTCCTAATGGCTCAGAAACCAGAACAGAATGCCTGATTTAAAAACAAACAAACAAAAAAACCCCCAAGCCCACAATTTTACAGACAACCCTACTTTTCTTAGAGCTAAAAGCCAAAGCTGCAATATAATGTCTGTCACACTGCATCCACATGACGTTTCCCACTTGAATCAGGTTCAGCATGCTCTAGTGATCTATTTTCTTCAAATTACAGTGCTTTGTAAGTGTACTTAAAGGGCATTTGGAACATATTTTGCCAAAAGTTAATTTTAAGGAACAATCAGATCAAAAGTTCTCCTGTGAGCAAGTCTGGTAAGAACCAAGTATTGTCTCTACAATATAATCCAAATACACATAAAGGAAAAAATTATCACCTCCCATTTTAAAGTGCGAATAGCAGTTGCTTATTACAATGTTTTGCCTCTGAGATAGTGGTTTTATTAGTTTCTGCACGTTGTGTGATCAGCTTTCACTGTATGGCAGTGCAGCTTATCTATGCAGTTCACAACTAACTAGTGCCTTTTTCATTATCATACTTCTCAGATACATTGCATCCGTATCATTTCAACACACATTGCCACAACTTGTAATGTGAAGAACCTTACAGTAAATAAGAATTTTCCTTTAACTAAAAAAGCCAAAGTCTGCAATACCAAGAATATGAAGCCTAACCCTCTTGGAAAATTCACCTATAGTTTGCAGAACAAAAGCAGGGGGACTGAAAAGCCTTAGGTATCATTTTATCATTTTACATGAAAAAGAAGTTCTATATGGCACTAAATTATCAGAAGAACAATGACAAATGCAGAATAAAAACCTGTCATCAGCTTCATTTTTTAAAAATTAAGAATAACTCTGTCAGCGCATTTTAATTGTCTTAAAATGTCTTTTGTTCTGAAACAAAAAACCCTTGGCTTTTGGTAAAGTCTCCTCAATCTCTAGATCCACTGAATGTATCTCCATTGACTGTACAGGGCCGTGACACACGTAGCTCACATACAGACAGCTACATTTCAGTGCCTGAGACTAGAAACGAGTCTTGCCCTGAGGGCTCAGTTTGGTTGCCCGTTCCTATGTGACTACTGACACTTGAGATTCTTTAAAGGTGGGCAGATACAACCTTCAACTTACTGGAGAGAGGGCAATTCTTTCTACTTTGACTTAGTTTACCTATTCATCCAGACTCTCAATGCCTTTTTGTATTTATTTGGGGAAAGGTACCACTAACATAGACAAGGGTCCCTCAGGACTTCACTCAGTCCTCCACTATTTTTCTAAAATTTTAGTAAAAGGCTTGCAGGATGTTTTATTTTTTAAAAAAATTTATCCATTTTTGGTACAGTACATTGACGATTTTTTAGTAGCCGAGGAATCTTGTACAGCTGACACCTGTTCCCTTACTGTTTGCCTTGGCTGAAAAGGGCCATCAGGCCTCTCCACATAAGTCACAATTTTTATGAGAGAAGTGTAGAGTATAATTTTCAGGAGCTGTAGGATTTTGCCACCCCTGGATAGCTGCTTCTGAGGAAATGGCAAAACCCCTGATACAGGAGTATCAAAATGCTGGAGACATTTGCTAAACAACAGACAAGGTAAAGACATTCAAGCTTTTGCAGCAAGCTGCACCTGCCCTGGGACTGCCAGGCTACAATAAAGCATTTACCTTGTTTGTACAAGAAGGGCAAGGAACAGCCTCTGGGATGTTCACTAACGTGCTGAGCCCAGCACCTCAATTCACTTCACCTGGGGAAGGAACCCCATATAATTAACACGTAGTAACAACCCATAAAGATGAAAAGATTTGAGAAGATTTAACAGATGTGCTGTTTCTAAATTCCAGTCTGGAACTATTTGTAGGTGGGTCCCCATATTATCTGAACAACAACCAGGTTAATGGGTTATTCAATAACTACTGTGAATGAAGAAGTAGAGGCCTCACGCCTCAGTCCAAAACTGAGTGCACAAGCAGCCAAATTAATTGCATTAACAAAGGTCTATCAGCTGGCCAAAGAAGAGACTGCAAATATTTATGCTGATTCTCAATATGCATTTGGAGTATGCCATGACACTGGGTGGTTATGGAAGCTGCGTGGGTTTGTAACTTCTAGTGGAAGTAAAATATTAAATACTCCAAATATCACTGAACTGTTAAGAGATATACAATTCCCAGAGACACTAGCTATCATTCATCAGCCAGCCCATACCAGCAGAAGGATAGAAGAGGAGATAATAAGTCTAATAGATACTGCTGTTAAAGCTGCAGCATGACAGATCTACAAACCACTGGGCTTACAAGCAGTCCAACGGTACAACCTGGTGTTGCTCGCTCCTGAAAAGATAAGTTTGGCTGTTCCTACTGAAGAAATCGACTCTCAGAAAAGGTATGAAATGATCAAATTATCCCAGGGAATATGGAGAACAGATATGGAAAACCTTCCTACTTTACCTAAGCAGTACCATCCAGGGCATTTTGGGACTGCTGTACTAGCCCAGACACTGATGAAGAACTGGCTCACAACAGGAATTTATGCTGCAGCCAAATAATCACACCTTTCATGCACTACCTTTAGCCTTAATTAATATTTAGCAAAGACCTCAACAACAAAAAAGTCTCTGCAAAGATATTTTTACTGCTTTTGTCTAAACTCCATATTCCCATTCCATTTCCTCATGAGCCTTAATGCCATGCCTGTCCTGAATTTCTCTGAGGATGCTTCTCAGCAACGTTCTTGCTTCTCAGCAAGAATTATTTAAGAGAAGACACAGCATTATGTGCTTTCAGTGGGAAGTGCCCTTCAGCCCTAGAGCTGGGAGCAGAGCCCAGCATACCAGATGGGGCAGCTTTCCTGCTCAAACCCAGAAGGAACAGCCACAGTGCTGGAGGCTTGCACTCTCCCACTCACCTTTGCCTTCCCATACCTTCTCCTCTCAGCAGTTTCACATCTGCCTTGCTCAGCTCTGAATAGCACCCCAGGATTAATTTCCTGGTTAAAAAACATCTTTCTCTTGCTTTTTCTCTCCTGCAGCTTCCAGCTGGTGGGTAACTATTGAGCCACACTTAGTCTACCTGGCACATGATCTAAAGACAGCAGAGTATTTACATTACCCCAGCAGATGCCCTCATAAATAAGAAAGAGAGAAAGAGAGAAAGAGAGAAAGAGAGAGAAAGAGAGAAAGAGAGAGAAAGAGAGAAAGAGAGAGAAAGAGAGAGAGAGAGAAAGAGAGAGAGAGAGAAAGAGAGAGAGAGAGAAAGAGAGAGAGAGAGAGAGAGAGAAAGAGAGAGAGAGAGAGAGAGAGAGAGAAAGAGAGAAAGAGAGAAAGAGAGAAAGAGAGAAAGAGA